CGCACATTGCTCAGCCCTTCAGCCCAAGTTCCCATCCGCAGAGAATGACCCTTTCAAGGAGTCGCCGCAACAAAGATCCCTTTTGTGGAATTGTCGTGGCCCAAGCATTTGTCACTAATCGCCTTGAGCCTGGTATAGACTCATAAGACCAATTCCACAGTAGTGGTCTGACTGCCTTGCTATCGTCGACACTATCCACAGTCGTTGACTGGGCAGTAGACCCTTAAGCCCTACTGAGCGCAACACTGTCAACCACGACACGATACACTGAATGGTTCGAGAGTAAACTCTGTAAAAAGCGCAAAAATACGCCCTTACAGAGCTGGTGCAGAGCATGTCTGGTAGCCAGCCTATCACCGGGCTAACAGGGGCACCAAGACCCACCGCCGGGCTGACATGGGCATCTGCGCAATAGCGGGCATGCGCGCCCAGAGGAGCCATCAATGGAGTCATGCGTGAGCCATGCGACCATTGGAAGTCTGCTCAATGGCTTCTGATCCTCCGATATGCTGTCTCCAAGTAGCTTGACAGGCCAAGAAAGATCTAGGCAGATCCTGCACGCGGTGCCAGTGAGTACCTAGCAGTTGACAAGGTCAAGTCCTTGAAGCTGATCCCCTTGCATCGCCTTCCGTTCCCAGAATCCGACCGAATCTGGGGCAATTTTCCAAGCTTACGCGCTTACAAGTCCGATCCACTACCAGGAACATGCCTCCTTGCTCCAAGTCCGCAGCGAAACCGCCTACATCTTCAGCCGCACCAACCCGACCACTGCGATCCAATTCTGTTGCTCCAGCCCTTGAACAGGAGACACCGGCTGTGGATGTGCATTGCCGAAAAAGAGAGGAAAAGGCTTGCAAGAGAGTGGCACAATCTCAAGCGGATGCCGGGTTTGCGTCAGAGACAAATCCAGGCATCCCAATCACGCTTGGTACATTTGCACCCGTATACATTCTGTGCAGCACTGACTACCTGCCAAGGGGATTCTGCGGCGCGGATGCCCTCTCCCTCACCAAGTCCGCGTATCGATGACGTGGATAACTTACCGGCATCGTCTGCTTTTGCGGACAGCTTGCCGGAGATGATGCCTGCTTCCCTTGGACTTCGAGGAAGAGCGAACCCGTGGGCAAATGCTTCCAACACGCTTGGTACTGCTGCATTGCGTTTAGCAATGAATGTTTTGTCCCTGAGCCCAGTTCGACCCACACCTTTATCATCCAACACCTCCAGAGCATCCACCCCACCGCAAACACCGTCGAGGGGTCCGGAAGACCAGAGAACACCTCGAGCTCATCCACGGACTGGCGTTTCTGTAATGGAGAGGGATGGGGAGATCACTCCACGCTCACGATATCTGCTATCACTGGGCACTCTGGAGGTCTCACGAGATGCAGAGTGGGGACTGGACGAGCTCCAGGAACTGAATCTCAACCCTCATGCCAATGAGGAAGACAACCTGCTCGGAAGCAATAGCCAGGCTTGTGACGAAATCCTGACCGTGGCTCAATGCTCCAATCTGGACCAAATTGGGCGTTATAATGGACAGATCCCTGGAACGGAAGCTCTGTATAAGAGTGAAGGCAACGACGATGACTTCAAGACCAAGGAGCAAAAATGTCTCCGTGCCGCATTGATCAGGGAGCGTGAAGAAGAGAAGATGAGGGAAATCAGACTGAGGCGAGCTTCCAGCAATGTCGAAGGCAACAGACGGGAGGATGAAGAGTTGCAAAATTGTGTGGCTCAGGACGTTGGCATGCTGAGCGCTACGAGCACATCAAACATGTCGACCACAGAGAAGACTGGATCTCGCATCACCGGCAATTCAAAATCTATGAGCCAAAAGAGTCGTCGTGCACTGTCTGGTGCAAACACCGAGGCTGACAAGGGTGGCCGTCCACCAAAAGCCTACTACACAGAAATTCTGGAAGTCCAAAAGCAACTACAAAAGATATCGGAAAAGTACAATGTACCGGTGGAAAGAGTGATGGAGAACGTGAGCGGCGATGAGGATTGTCGAAGTCCAAAGGAACACATGTGGAACAAGTTCCAGACCTGGTACTTGGCTCAACACAAGGGTCAAAAACCAGCTGATAGTGAGTGGATACTTTCCACCAGTGAACACTTGTGAGCTCACCAATCTGATAGTGCATGTCAGCATCTGGAACGGGCAGGTCAGCAAAGCGTACGACGATTGTTTGGCCCAGCTGAGCCGGGAACAGCAAAGCAATGTCGACGCGCTCAACAAGCATTTTAGTGACGTCCTTGATTGGTATGCAATCCACATGGAGGAAGAGATAATCGATACAAGAAGGAGTGGAAAGTTTCCCGCTTTGGTTGCGGATGTGGCCAAGAATCTCACTTGTGTGGTCTGTAATGCAGATTTTCTGTGGATGAGTGTTATTAACATGTTTGCAGTCAGCAAAAGCATATCGGCAACTCAACGTGCATGCTTTCAGGGTAATCATTGACAAAGACAGACAGCACAGTTGCACGTGGGGGGGATCACCCGAGTACCTGCAACTGATAAGACGTTTCCAGTGGCTATTGATTGTGAATTACAAGACTATGAAACTATGCTGCGGTAGGTGTTAGCTAGAAAACCTTTGCTGTGATGCTGACTGGCTTACAGAAAGTTGGACTTGGATGAACGTGCATTGGACATGCCAATGACCAAGCAGACGACCATAGCCGCAAGTGCACAGGCATCACAGGCCAAGAACTCGGGAGCTCCCATCATGGGCAATTGATTGGAGCGACGGATAGTGGGCGCAGGCGGCAAGCAGTTCGCAGATAAGCGGAGCATGGAACGAGCACGCGTGCAGGATCTTTTGTGTATGGCGATGGACAAGTGAACAAGTTTGTTAATGCATTGTAGCCCTCTGACAGATGCTACATTGAACATGCTGGAGGTTTCCAGCTGAAGAAGATGAGCTGGGACCTTCTGAACCTCTGCCGACACCATCAGCTCAGGCTCGTCAATTGGCCAGATGGCTTGAAGCTGCCGCAGCCAAATTGGAAACTGTTGGCTGAGTTAGTACAATGCATGCTTCTCGGTATGGAGTTGCGTGCAAAACCAGACAACTACAAAATTTTGCCGGTGGATGATGCCCAGTCAATTGCGGAAAAAACTGCCAAAGAGAAACTTGCGTACGCAGCCCCCAACTTCATGAAGTGGACAGACGGTCAGTCGTACCAAATAGCTTGTTGACTGCTCACTCATACCATGATATAGAAGAGATAGAGGCTGCAGATAATCCAGACAAGGTGGGCAACATTGTGTTGGCAACACGTTTGGGGGATAACAATGAAATCGCCTGGGTCCAGGACTCCATGTCTTACAAAAAGGAGATCAACGACAAAAAGGAGAAGAGAGAGGGCAAGCGGCCGATGGCAGCTTGCTTGCCAACTCCAAATCAACGGGCGCCCAGCTTGGCTGATGAGCTCAATGACACTGACGTGGATGACAGTGAGCCGCCACGCAAACGTCAGCGGATGAACAGGGAGTTGCTGATGCAGCAGCTGGAGAAAAATCCCAGAGAGGGCGAGCACATTTGTTGATATGTCTTTGGAGAACAATCCTCCAGGACGTTCTTTGTTACTTGATTCCGCAGACAGAGTATAGGCGACGCGATGGTTGTAGACGACTACATCAGTCGAGGCTTGCAAATGGAGCAGGAGGGTCAGTGGAAGCGTGTGGACCTCCGCCTCCTGCTGGTTGTTGCTGAGCGGTACAGGGGCTTACACAAAACGCTGTACAAAGATTTGCTTGACACTGGATGCTACGGGACTGTGATGTGACCTATATGAGTCTCATGTGTTGTCTGGACAATTTCTATTGTTTTGCACTTACTGTACTGCTGTCGTTCTTGATCTCATTAATGTGTTACTTGTATCTTTATTGTCTAAGCAATATGGGCGGCCCCGTAATTATCTTGGCAATTGGCGGGCGGCCCCATGATCATCTAAGCGATATGGACGGCCCCATAATTATCTAAGCGATATGGGCGGCCCCATAGTAATCTTGGCAAAAAGCGGGCGGGCCCACACTTTCCTTGGGCGGGCACATAACTCTGTGGGCGGGCTCACACTTGCCTACGTGTCAATATGTCACATACATTTTTCCTGTGCTCAGGAATCACCTGTCGCTGAGAATGTATCTACGTTCAAAAGAGAATATAAAAAACATCTGTATGCATCATTCACTCAAGTCATAAAGCGCACAAGATAAGGTGTTTTTTTATCGAGTCCATAAGCCTACAAAATAGTGACTTGATATATCCTTAAGAGAAAGAATAAGTCATGTTACATTCATAATATGTTCATAAATACAAGTCATATGTTACATTCTATGCCAGTATTATTGCATAGGTTGCAAAAATATACATGACTTTTACTTTCCAAATAGGCCAAAAAAAACAGAAAAATTTTGGGCGCTGCGTGCACTATCAGGACCCCGGGAGCTGTGGGCACGCCCAAGGCCGCCCACTGGCCGCCCATGGATTTTTGAGTAGGGCCGCCCAGAGCATTGGGGGGGGCCCAGCAGCCACCCAGCCCACAGCCGCCCACTACCACTGAGGTACCTTGTTTGGGCCTCAAAAAGGTACCTCTCAAGGTACAAATGTGGGGTGTCCAAGGTGGGTGCCCCCACCTTGGACTCACTGGCCAAGACATACCAGTTGGCCAATCCAGCCCGTTGTATTCCAAAAGTATGACGCGGTGGGTTGGCCCACATCAAAAGTACCATATGGACAATGGGGTGGGGTCCTGATTGCTCAGGACCTGTCCGATTGTTCAACTTTTTCATTACCATAAAAAGAAACTGATCTTAGATAGCGTAGCTACTATGCAGTTGTACAGGACTTTACTAAGCATTGTTGTCGACAGTATAAGTCGTGCGTTGTTTCTTTGTATTGGGGAGCTTTCCCCCGAACTGTGAATCATACCCATATCAGATTGTTTTTGTGCAATTTGTGTGTCGCGTGATTCTGCCCTAAGAAGTTCTGTCACCCCTGCCCGGTTGCAAGAGTTGCTCCTTGAGCACTTGTAGCTACTGTGATTTGAGTTTGAGTTGAGATATCAGAAAGTCGGATTCGCCCACCGGAGTGATCACCTTCGATCTGAGTGAAGGCAATCTGGTCGCACTTGAGCTCCCCCATTGTTGGTTGATCATCTGGAGAGTCGATGTAATGTGCAGTGATCCCAAGGTAAGGATCCCCTGCTGCGGAGGTCCACGTGTCAAAGGTGAGAGATATATCACCCGGACATTTCTACAACCAGTAAGTACAGTCTATTCGAGAATGAAGTAGTTGACACACCTCAAAAACCTTCTTGAGACGCTTCACTTCAGTGTCCCGCTTCGCCTTGATCTCTGTGCTGACTTTGGTCCGATGGGGAATGTCCTGATCAGCGAGCTTCGGCCAACAAAACTGGAGGACCTGACAGAACAAAGGATTATCGACAAGTTGCAGAGCGTATTGAATTGTGTCAGAGCATGATCCGAGGCGTGGGCAGCATGAGACTTACGCTGTCAATACAAATGGTCATCTCCACAATGTGATTGAGAAGCCCCTGCTTTGTGAGAGGTACCTCCACCTTTGCATTCTCATCAAGAGTGGTCTGCGTGAGCCCTCCCAACTTGCCAGACCTGGTGGTAGTCGTTCAGAGTTGGATAAGAGGAAGAGAGGGATACAGACTTATTGTATCCCTCAGGATAGGCATGGTTGTTGAGCGGGATCTTCTTATCGTCACAGTACTTCTTGTAAACGGGGAAATGATCTTGACCATTGCTGCTGAAGTTCAGTCATGTGAAGCGTTCGAACATAAGACACTCACCAAGAAATGTGGCTACAAAGTGTCAAAACACCACCACTAAAGAAGGACTTGTTTGCACTGAGCCCACAGACAGTCCTGTAAATGATCAGAGTGTGAACACAATGATAAGATAAAAGACAGCGCACTTGCAAATACGGCACCAACGTCCCTTAACAAGCTTCCCGGAGTGATTCGTATGCGTATCCATCTGGAAGATTCCATCCAAATACTTTGTACGATCAGCCTTGGGAATGCTCGCCATGACTGTACTGCGCAAGGATCTCTTCATCATCCTCATCCTTGCCCTTGCCCTTGCCCTCATCCTCATTGACATCTTTGCCATCCTCCATCTCCTTGAACTCACTAGGATCCTCAAGATTGGGCATCTCCTCGTCTTCATCAGCAGCAGTGGGATCAGGCAACGTGGCACAAGATGAGAGAGAAGGTGCTCGCATTGATTGGTGGGAAGACTTGAAAGTAGGAGATATGAGCTCGTTCGAAGCTCTGCGCTTGGCAGAGGCCTTGCGGCACTCTATGGAGACGGCCACATTGTCAGGATCAGTGCTGTGTGCGGAGGGTTGGCAATGACAAGACAATGAACGCGGCTGGAAATGGTCCAAGATCTTGAGGGCAGCAGATCAACCGCGTCGCGACTTTGGGGCGGGCTTTGGGGATGCTGCAACAGACAGAAGCAGAGACGTATTGTCAGGATCATGGAAAAACTGGATTTCGCTGGCTGGGAGGAGTTTGCCATCTGCACTCAATGCGCACTGCTTGTCAGACATAGTAAATAAGGTGTAGAGAGACAACCCAAAAACATGACTGACCTAAATAGAAAAACAGATCTTGTGTCATAGTTCGGCCACTTTTTCATCTTATCATCAACGATCTTATCTTATCTTGGCACGGATCACGGCATCAGACGGTCCGGGCTAGGGGTTATCTCTATCGATTCGAGGCTGCGCGACATATGCTCCGGAAGGTTCTACTACAACCCATGACCAGCGTTCCATGCGGTACATAGTCTTATGACTCATTAGTTGTAGATATGACTCAGACTGGATTTGGGTATAAATACTGTAGCTACCTGGTTGTATTCTCCAGTCTTCGAATTCACTTCTCTTTTCGACTTTGCTTTTGGGTTGATTGTCACATAATTCGAAGACTCCCCTCATACCCTCCTACCTCATACCTCTTACCCTGCATCTTGCACCGCTACGCCCGCTATATCCTCTTAAACCTTATCACCCCACTCACCCTTTTACCGAATCATCTAGTCGTCCTCCACTATCGCAGTGAAGGGTTCATATCAAGCAAACAGCACCAGGCCACGGGTAACGTTGAGCCCGACCCAAGCCTTACGGTAGCTACAAGGAGTGCTGCGGAGACCTTCGGGAAAACGCACCTCGGGATCATCGGGCACGTGAAGAGCTAGGCCCGGGATCTTTTTGCTAGCAAAAGAACCTTTCCTCGGGTGCTTGTACAGCACACGAATCCACCATTTTGTACCGATTCCCATCGTCGTCTGGGAGTCCATCCCCTCCCCCCATCGTACCATCGTCGCCCGATCTGGCGCATCAAAACCAACCCGGGCCCTCCGACCCCTACCTCGCCCTCCCACCGCCTGAAGACGAGATCCCCGACCTCGACGAACTGCCCTCCGAACAACCACCCTCGCCTCCACCTCACACGCCTGCCCCTACCATGTCAGGGCATCACCGCATCACCCTCGCCGCCAACCCCCCCTACTTCGATGGCGACAAGTCCAAATACCTGGGCTTTGTGGATGCGTGCACCACTTACATCGGTGCCTATCGATCGGAGTTCTCACAAGATGAGACCAAAATCCTCTTTGTCCTCTCCTACCTCCGTAACGAGAACGGCACGAGCTGCGCTGCCTCGAGATGGGCGATGAACTGGAAGCAGCACAACTTCGATGGCTTCCAGGGACTGAAGGCAGGAGTCACATCAAAGAACTTCCTGGAGGAGTTTCAGAGGGCGTTCGGGGACTCCAATGCGGAACAAGTCGCCGCTGCTCGGCTTATGGCCCTGCGTCAAAACAAACGATCCTTCGCGGACTACATCTCCGACTTTGAGATGTTGGCCGCGGATGCAGGCTACAATGTGGTTGACACCACCGACGACAAAGGCGAATACAAGAAGGGGGACCAGGATAATATCCTCATCGAGTTCCTGGAGCGCGGACTCAGCAGCGAGATCGCCAGCCGTCTCTACAACACCGGTGTCCCTCTGCCCAAGGCCTATGGAGCGTTCAAAGCCTGGTGCATCAACATCGAAGCCAATGCTCTGCGTGACCAGCTGCGCAAAGCGTCGTATGGGCACTCCACACAACGACCACCTCCCCAGTTCCGTCCCCAAACGGCACCAGTGACGCCCACACCCGCTCCGGCCCGACCCGCTGCCAACGAACCGGTTCCGATGGAAATCGATCGTACCCACGCCCGCGGCCGCAATATCATCTGCTACAACTGTCAGCAGCCTGGGCACATTGCGCGGAACTGTCCGGAGCCAAGGAAGAAGCGCACATTCTTCAATCGGGCCACGATGCTGGAAGAGATCGAGAACGGGGACAAGGACAACGAGTTCCTCAAGGAGATCGCTGAGAAGCTGCGCGAGAAGGGTTTTTGAAGCGCTCCACTCCTCTAGCCAAGGAGGTGGAGCGTCCGGACTATGGACGATTTTCTGTACTTGTTTCGATTAAAGATACGGACAATATTTCATCTACATACACGATCTCAGACTCACTACGTACAAATATTCACGATTTTCTTGTTGCCGAGATGGAAAAAGAACGCCAGGAAAAGATAGCTCTAAATAGAAAATACTTACAAGATAAAAAGGATCAGAAAGCTGCAGATAAATTATTTTTAGACTCCTACGTATTTATGGCTCGTGGAGAAGGAACCACGTCAACAAAGACCGAAAAGGGGAGCATCGCTCCGAAGGCTCGATCCTTGGAAAAGGAGGAAGCGCCCAAGGAATCTGCCAAAATCGAGGTTCCAGAAGCACCCAAACGCACCAGGGTGCCAGATGCCATCCAGAGGAAATTGGCGACCGAGAAACAGAAGGACCCCCAGCCCAGCAGATTGGCGCAGGAATTGCGCAGTTACCAAGCCGAAAGAAAGAGGCATTCGATGGACGTATATGTCCAGATCACGGGCCTGGACTCAGGGAAAACGCGTGGAGTCAAGGCGCTGCTCGATAGTGGCTGCAGTACCTGCTGCATCGACACCGACTACGCACGGGCAGAAAAGCTGGATATCCAAGAGCTTCCACAACCCATTGTGGCTCGTAACGCCGACAACACCGAGAACATCAGCGGTCGGATCACACACTACGTCGACTTGAGAATGAGAATCGGCCCTCATGTGGAGACACGCACGTTCCTTCTGACGTGTCTGGGAAAAGCCCGGATCTTCATCGGCCTGGATTGGCTGACGGAACACAACCCCGAGGTGGATTGGCAGGAGCAGACAATGAGGTTCAGCCGATGCCCAGAGCAATGTCAAATGAGGGGTCACGAGGAGCACCAAGCAATGATCGACATGGATGCAATTGACCTGGACGCGGGTGCACCGGATCTGGAAGAGGGAGAATCGATCTTGTTGATCGACTTTGGAAAGGAGGTAGACCTACGGCTGAAGGAAACGCCGGCGCAGAAATTCGCAGAAGAAGCGGAAAAGGAGAAGGACAGAATGACCGAGGGAAAGATTCCAGATCAATACCGAGAATTCGTCAAAGTATTCGCCAAGGAATCATTCGACTCGCTACCGGACCGACGGGCATGGGATCATGCGATCGAGCTCAAACCAGGCTCCAAAGCAGTGGACTGCAAGGTGTACCCCTTATCAAGAAACGAGCAGGTCAAACTCGACGAGTTCTTACAAGAGAACCTAGCCAGCGGACGAATCAGGCCATCAAAATCACCCATGGCATCGGCATTCTTCTTTGTCAAGAAGAAGGATGGCTCGCTACGGCCTGTTCAAGATTACCGGAAGCTGAATGAGATGACGATCCGAAATCGGTACCCGCTACCGCTGATTTCCGAACTGGTCCACAACCTGTGCGGCGCCAAGTTCTTCACCAAGCTAGACATCCGGTGGGGATACAACAACGTACGGATCAAAGAGGGCGATGAGTGGAAGGCTGCGTTTCGCACAAACCGCGGACTTTACGAGCCCTTGGTTATGTTCTTTGGTCTCACAAATTCCCCGGCAACTTTCCAAAACATGATGAACGACATACTCCGGGAACTGATCAACGAGGGACATGTGGTAGTTTATCTGGACGACATACTAATCTTCACAGAAAATCTGGATGAACATCGACGAATCACCAAACGGGTACTCGAGTTGCTCCAAAAGCACAAATTATACCTGAAGCCGGAAAAGTGCGAGTTCGAACGCACGGAAATCGAATACCTGGGTGTAATCATTGGACACAATTCGATGCGGATGGACCCAGTCAAGATCAAGGGCGTGATGGAATGGCCGGAACCAAAGAGCGTCAAACAAGTCCAAGCGTTTCTAGGGTTCACAAACTTCTATCGGCGCTTTGTCCGGGGATACGCGGAGGTTGCCAAGCCATTGACACAGCTGACAGGAAAGGCAGGATGGTCATGGGGTGCAGATGAGCATGCAGCATTTGATGGATTGAAGAAGAGAATCGCGGAGGATGCGGTCCTAGCACTGCCAAATGACAGCGGCCAATATTGTCTGGAAGCCGATGCTTCAGAAGGGGCAACAGGATCTGTTTTGAGCCAAAACCAAGACGGCATTTGGCGCCCAATCGCATTTATTTCGCACGCATTGACCGAAACCGAGCGAAATTATGAGATCTACGACAAGGAGATGCTCGCAATCATGTTATCACTTGACGAATGGAGGCAGTTGCTCCTGGGAGCCACGGAAACGTTCGAGATCTTCACCGATCATCAGAATCTCGAGTACTTTCGGAAGCCGCAGAAGCTCAATCGACGGCAAGCACGATGGATCACGGAGTTGGCGGAGTTCGATTTCACCTTACGACACCGACCTGGCGCACTCAACCGCAAGGCGGACCTCCTGTCCCGACGAGCAGATCACGATCAGGGCAAGAACGACAACAAGGACGTCACGCTACTGAAGCCCGAGTTCTTCCGATCACAAGAAGTCACATTCGAGGGACAGGATCAGCAGCTAATCGACGAAATCAAGGCCATTCGATCAATTGATGGAAGCGTCAAGGCGGCCTTAGAGAAGTCACTCGCCGGATGGAAGAAGGAAGAGGGGCTTATCACGTACCATGGGAAGCTCTACGTACCAAGGGACGAGGAGTTGCGGGACAAAATCATCGGACTACACCACGACACCCCTTTGGTCGGACACGCCGGGATCAACCGAACGCAGGAGATGGTGGAAAGGAACTACTGGTGGCCAAGGATGGGAAACCAAATTCGGAAATACATCCAGACGTGCGAAGCGTGCCAGCGGACCAAGACCAGAAGAGCCAGGACAGGGAGTTTGCACCCGCATGCAATTCCAAACGCGCCGTGGGAAATCATCTCCATGGATCAGATTGGACCCCTGCCGGTCAGTAACGGGTATGACGCAATTCATGTGTGGTGTGACACCTTCACCAAAATGATCCATGTCGAACCAATTAGTACTGACATCAGCAGCGAAGGAGTAGCACGATTAACCAGGGACCGAATCTTCCGCTATCACGGGGTCCCCCGCAAAATCATCACTGACAGGGACTCTCGATACATCAAGGGCTTCATGAGGGAGACGAATCGGATGTTGGGCGTGGAAATGAATCCGGGGACCGCATATCACCCCATCACGGATGGGCAGACGGAGCGTATGAATCAGGAGATCGAACACTATCTCCGCATTTACGTCAACTACCATCAGACGGACTGGTCGGAGTGGCTGGGAATGGCGGAGTTCGCATACAACGACAAAATGAACACGTCTACCAAAATGTCGCCGTTCTATGCTAATCACGGATATCACCCATGGAAGGGAGTGGAGCAGCGGATGGAATCAAGGAACGAGTCGGCGGAGGAATTTGTAAAAAGAATCAAAGAAATACAAGACGAAGCAAAAGCAGCATTGGAAAAAGCAAAAGAAAAAATGAAAAAATACTACGATAAACAAAGAAAAGAAGTTCCGGAGTTGAAGGTTGGGATGAAGGTGTACATAGAAGGGGAAAATATCGAGACGGATAGACCATCAAAGAAGATGAGCGACAAGAGATTGGGACCATACGAGATACTGGAGAAGGTTGGAGCGGCCGCATGGAAGCTGGATTTGCCGAACACGGACCGAAGACACCCGGTGTTCAACGAGTCACTGTTGACACCCTATCACGAACCACCCCCCCATCGCCGAGAGAAGAGACCCGTGGCCAAGATGATCGGAGGAGCAGAGGAGTGGGAAGTCGAAGAAATCGTGAAAGAGCGAAAAGTCGGCCGAGGAAAACAGTACTTGGTCAAATGGAAGGGATGGCCGCACAGCGAGAACACCTGGGAACCATCACGTCACCTTACCCACGCAAAGGACGTCCTGAGAGACTGGCAGAGGAAACAATCAAATCCAGACACACGCATTCGCCTCCTGCCAACGCTCGAAGCTGGACACTGGGACTATCTCATTCATCGCTACCAGCCCAGGGACGAGCGCCTTCCATACCCCCAACGACAGCTCTTCGACCCTTACGAGAACGTCTTCTTACCCATTGGCCTGGTCGATGAGGACATCGACCCTAGAGAGGGGGTAATGTCATAGTTCGGCCACTTTTTCATCTTATCATCAACGATCTTATCTTATCTTGGCACGGATCACGGCATCAGACGGTCCGGGCTAGGGGTTATCTCTATCGATTCGAGGCTGCGCGACATATGCTCCGGAAGGTTCTACTACAACCCATGACCAGCGTTCCATGCGGTACATAGTCTTATGACTCATTAGTTGTAGATATGACTCAGACTGGATTTGGGTATAAATACTGTAGCTACCTGGTTGTATTCTCCAGTCTTCGAATTCACTTCTCTTTTCGACTTTGCTTTTGGGTTGATTGTCACATCTTGACACATTCACTCTCCATTGCGGGCCATATCAGCACATCACAGCACGATGATAAGCCAATTCAGCTTGGTTTGGGAAATCGATGGTCAAAAACGGGGGCGGGACACTGTCCTGGCTGATGCGCAGCAGCCACAGAGCGCCATCGTTGATCAGAGAGGTGTCACCACATGGAGATCGACGTCACTAGCGCAGAATTTAGGTGCCCAGATTGGCGCCCAAGTGTACCAAGCTGTTATCGTCAGATTGAGGGCAGAAAATTTGCTTTGTAGCGAGAATACCGTCGAGAGGAGGTTATTTTGGGGGATAACTGTGCAGGCTGACAAGCTCGATCACATGTTGTCAAGGACATGGGAACAAGCACCCTCGGATGTGTATTTCTGAGCCTATTTTACGTGCTAAAAACTCAGGTTCGGACGTGTTTGGACGTGTTCGGATGCGTCCAGATTTCTTTGTCCTCACCTGAACCGTGAACCGGACCATTGGTTCAGTCCGGTTTCAGGCATCTCGGCGAACTGGACCTGGGGTCCAGTTCAGGTTCAAACTGGGTTCACTCAGGTTCTGAACCGGACCACGGCAACACTACACATGCAATTTCTTGTAGTAACCTAACCTTATTTACCAATTTTCCATCCATAAATATGGTAAAATCCCAGAATTTCTCAAGTCTTCAGTGCCCAGTGAAATACAAAAGATACATATGTTTTCTACAGTATAGACAGCATCTCCGGAGCCAACAGTGTTATACATATCTGATGACAGCAAATATGAATTTTATCTACTTGAGTATGACTCAATATATTGAATCTATTGGTTCTGTGTGCTTGTAATGTCACTTTGCATGCATGGTTTTGGGGTCTTGACATTGCTTTTCAGTTGTCAACATTGCATACCATTTGATGTGAGCAGACCTCTCTGTGTTTTCATAAAAATGCATGAGCTATGACATGCTGCAGGTTTTATGCCTTATACATACCATCTATTGGGAACATATTAGGTGGATAAAAAGTGTTAGCATTGGAATGGATTATGCCATTGGACAGGTATTGTGCACAACAGGTTTGACTGCACAGTTGCAGCAAGATTACTTGCATTGCCTGATTAGGTAGTTCCAATCAATCTGACATTGGCAAGCGTGCTCCATAGTCAACTACACTTTGTACCATCATGAGCACATCTATACTTACTCCAAACACTACTGGGCAGCCCATAAAGTGTGTTCACATGACCTGTACACCTACAAAACATGCAAAACTCATCACTCTCCATGATGAATGCAGAAGGAGAATGGCTTTTATTGGATTAATTACTAATATCCCACACTCATGTCTATGTACTCAATATCTTGAATACAGTCTCAAATGCTCAGAAATGCTGTGGATGAACACGGACAGAGTGAATTTGATTGCAACTACCTAATCAGGTAATGAGATTATTCCTAGATATCCACTGCATAACCACCACAGGCCTTCCACGGAGGTCGATCAAGTTATCATTTATTTCTTAAATGATTCCAAATCATCGCTATCACTAGGGAGCGTGAAACAATTTTTATGGTTTGACACTTCCGCAGTCCGTCACTCCTCATCACACAATCACGTATCAGGGTGATTCTTTCCCTTCCCAATCGGACAAGCCCCTAGTCCAGCTGGAGCTGCGAAGCTTGAAGTCACTGAGTCGATCTGGCAAGATCAGACAAGAACACGGGCTGAGCCTGAATTCTTAAACTGTCTCATTGGTGGGCTATGAGGTAATTGGCTATTTCCCCCGGAATCGCATAGCCGGTACGGTATCTGTTAAGTCTCTTCGTTGAAACTCCCGGGACCGGCAGTGAACGTTTGAACGCTCAGCTGGACAATGCTTCTGTCCGTCAGGCAAATGGGATCTCTCTGCTGTGTCTCTCGGATGTTTCTCCGTGGCACGCTCCGCATGCTGTTGCCGTGCCTAGCGGCAGAATGTCGGTTGAGGAACCGTATGAGGCACCGTATGACTTTGTGTCGTTTAGCGACTGTGATTGAATCGTGAATGGTAGGCAAGCCAGGTCGGATTCTCTCAGAAACACTGTCGTCGGCATGCTCTTACTCCGATATTTCACTTCGGCAATTACGGACCTGCTCTGCTGATGCGGGATTCGGGCCCTTGATCCCCGGTCGTAATTGGCGTCCCAATGCGATGAATGAGTAATGCGCTAAACGGGTGATTCCACGTTGCGTTCTCGTTGGCTCGGGCTCAATGCGCATCCCACCGTGAGTGCCTGATGGCGTCGATAAAGCACAAGTGTGTATCACGAGGCGGTAACGATCGGGATCGGGTACATATGCCTTGCCAGGACATTAACACTCAATGCGGCGCAAAAGAACCCAGAAAGATGCTCGTTTGGGTAACTTTGGTCTTCGCGTTGTACCTTTCGAATAAAGAAACCACACATGCGGACTGGTGTCAGGCAAAATGATGAATGACTAAACACGTCAATAACAAGTTTTGAGCAACTGAGGACGTTATCATTAAGCACTGAATTTTGCTCAGAAAGAAGCATCCGGTTTATTTTTTCGAGCAAGATTGTCTTCGAGGGACAGGACATGTACCGTGAAAAGCCGGGGAAGCGCTGGCTTTGACGGTGGCTGTGGGATATTGCCATCACTTTCATTCCCGATCTAGATCTTTGACGCCTTGTAGTGTATATAACGGCGTGATCTGCGCAACTCCTCTCCAGACGCAAACATTCACAAATCATGAGTGGCTTTAGTTACGCTTTCTGGTTTGATGATTCTCGCAACCACGAAGAAAATGAACAAGTTTTGGGTAGGCTCCGTAGGCTGAGACCAAACCTCGACTGACTATTTATCTCTAGAGCCTAGCCTTGGGGCTGTCCAACCCCAGATTCCCCCCACCATCTCCCCCTCGGCATTTCCCTCCCATGCACAGGATCGCTTCTCTCCCTCGCTACCCCCTAATTCCCTCGAGCCTAGCCCGTTCTGCATGGAAGAATCTGAACCTCCTCGAGCCAATCCTCTTATACCAGAACTTACCCCTCAGATGATGCCCTCACCGCAAGCCCTAACCGCTCGGCAGTGCTCTCATTGTGGGACGACCACATTGGTCTGGCAACAACATCCTATCACGCATGTTCCGTTGTGCGATGCATGCGCAGTGTATCTTTCTCAACGTTCCAAGCAGCGCCTCGTCGATCTCTTACTGGCCGAAACGCGGCGAAACGGGTCGTCGGAGGACGGGGTGTCGCTGGAGGGCACGATCCAATGCCCACATTGCGGTACAAAGAGGGCAAGCCCATCGGAGGAGAATTTGGAGGAGATGATGGTTTGCGATGCATGCGGGATGTATGTGCAAGTACGGGGGCAAGATCGCACGAACCGAGTGACAGAGGGATGGGAGGAGGGCGACGATAGTGGGATTACGAGGAATACAGTGAGTAAACTCTGCCCGCGCGTTGCTATCGTTGAGATCCTTGCCTCAGCTGGCACATGCGTCTTCACATCCTGAATGAGTTAGGATCGGATCGCCTTCACACGGAGCCGCGGCGTCGTCGCACGCGCATTTCCCTCAGATGACGTCGATGGTGGTCCTCGCAGCGCCTCATAATACCCACCTTGCCACGGCATGCTCTCACTGGCTTGCATTTTCTACTTCCAAGAGGATTTCGAAAAATAGTGATACAACAACGCAGACGGAGTCAAGTCTACCTAAACGACATGGTGTGCTTCATTTAGGTTCCTGCTACTCGATCGATGTATCCATCGTCGTGCAGGCCGATGTATATTAAATTAGACTTTCAGATTCAGGGCTCTCTACACACCGTGAGCGTACTGGACACAAACATTCTTCCGTGTGCGCTCACCGGGTCGACGAAAAGCTAGGAATCTTCCTTTACTATAGCACAATCGCACCCGCTACTGCGAGGCCCTGCTGAAACCAGCTAGGTCATTGAATTGAGATGTACGCCACATAGGAGACACGCACTCGGACAGAGTTGCTATGTGGTAGATCCCCGACTGCGCTGGGCGCTCAAATCCCCTTTGATTGTGAGATCTCTCAGTGCGTCCGTGCTGGCAGAGTACGTCTCGAAGTTCGCCATCGGGCGGGCGACCGCGCCTCGCTCGATGCTAGTAAGTCCAGAACAGATGCACATTGACAATCGTGTTTCCATGTTTCAGTAAAAGGCCGGAATATTCTCTTCACCGTGTGTGTGTCGGCCCTGTCAGTCGCGAAGATTGACAGGCCTGGACCGGTAGCGATCTCCGCGCTAGAATTCGTGGTCAGTAGACGATCAGAGATCAGCGCGGAAGTCTCCAGGCAGGCGTCTTTGAGGTCCATAGACACAGGGAGTCAAGCGACGTGGGGTGGATATCCGACGCAAAGCTGGTGATGGCTTCCTCCGCAGCAGAGATTCACCACGCGCCGAGGTAACACAAGCGTGTGTGGCTTCTGTGCTATCTGGTGCACAGTGTGATATCCCAGACCTGTACAACGCGAGGGTCCGCCCCCGCTTACAGAGCGAAAAAAAATGTGACGAGCACATCGAACGTATCTTGATATTGTATTGCGGGCCCTGAGACATTTTGGAATAACTGTCAGATTTTGCCGTTGTCCTTAGTACTCCGAAACAAGAGGCAGCGCTCAGCGTGAGTTCAGGGTCGCTTTGACCCCACATGTCAAGTCGTCTCGAGCGATGCAAACTGCAGCCGGGGATTGTGGAAAGCAGCTGCAAATCAGGATGACTTGCAGTTCCTACGTTCGAGCAGATATATGAGTCAAACCACTCGACACGCAGTCGGCTGTGTCAGCGCTTCACCCGAATGAAGGTGTATCAGCCTCGTGGGTATGGCCGGGGTTCTCTCTCCCTTTTTGCTGATGTCAGAGGTACTGTCTGTGAGAAAGCTATTAGTCTTGATGATGAGACGACGGATGAATTCGCATCATGATCAATGTGTCATCATGCCAAAAGGAGTGACGGTGACGAGAGCTGAGATTGATTGACTCCAGCGCTAGGAGAGAAAACATCGCACTTTACACACACACATTACGACTCTAACACGTTGCTCCTCGTCTCAGTCAGCTTTTCTTGCGCTGCCCTACGCGAGCCAGGCGCTTTCCGGAGTCACTGTGACCAGTGACCACCCATGGAAGACACGGCGCATATGATCAGAGGCGAAAACCCTTCACCGTCTCATATCCTGTGCAGATGCCCTTCGACGCTGCTCCTTCGAATGCTCATCCGCCCTTTTAAATCCCGAGCGTCAACATGTCCCGACGAATCTGTGAGCATCATCTGCGCTTTCAATGTCGACTCAGCAGCACTGACAGTGGCGACTACTTATGGCAGCCATGGCACGTAACCGTACGACAAAAACGACCCCGAACGATAATATGCAGAAATACAGCCTGCAGCACGCACCAGCTCCGGACATTGGTCTCTGAATTTCGGGAAGGGTTCCATTCAGCTGCTCGCCGTGCCCTAGGCCAGAGTGTTCCGACTCACCTAGAATACGGGGCAGCAAGCAGACAGCAGTGGAGGGTGAGATCATGAGCTCGGCCTACAAGGAGGGTGGCCGAATATACATCCAGTTCATCATGTTCATGCGCGGTACGCTCTCGCTGCGGATGCCGCAGTTAGCGGACCAGACTGACAATTGGCCACAGCTGGAAGTGAATGTCATCCCGACTCAACACCTCAGATCGCTTGATTGGAGGTGCGTGCACGTATTGGAGGATCCAGTCACCATACTCAACCCTGGACCCAGCCTATTTAGGCCTCCTCGTCTGTCCGCGATGCAGTGGAACACTCTATGGTCCCCGCCTCGCGTGTCGAACTTGGCTACCGTCAGTCCCTTGCGTACATTCTCTGACGACGTGTATGGGCTCATCCTGCTCCACAGTTGACGGAGCTCCTGGACTCAATGAACGCATAAACGTTGTCGAATTGCACGGCATTGCGACATTCGATACTCAGGAAACCGGATTCGACGGTATCGAATGCAGGTCTCAGAGGGCTTCATTCGCGTTGTTTCACAACCCCAGTTATTATTTGTCCTCACATCCAACCACTGTCCACCTGATCCCAATTCCCTGATTCCCATATCAACGTCGATCGAGTCCACCAACAAGCCCGGGGAGACAGCACGGATGAGAGCTGGGCCCGAATCCTTATGGAGATCTTGGAAATCGCATGCGAGCTTTGGGGGCCAACGGTCGGGTCCAAAGCGACTCTGGTGCGTGTGCCCACCCGACGCACGTCATCCTTTCAGCGCTGACCACACTTCATTAGGCGGGGGGACAATGACGTGGGCGTCGTCGTGGAAAGCGCTACATCAACCGTGGCCTATCTTCTTTCGAGAGTCAACTAGTTCGGGAACTGGTGTCGCCCGCGAGTTTCAGTATCGCGCCCTGCTCGAACTTCTCAGCTTGGGCCCAGGAGACCGATTCATCCGCCGTTTCTCGAGGGGGCACCGCGGTTTCCCATCATCGGGATCGCCCCCGCACAACGATCAAGAGGGTGTGGATTGGGAAGAAATTCTATGCTGTATCCTTGCGCACTCCGTGGACATTGCATCTGGGCAGGACAACAGCCGATCGATGATGAGCTAGATGGGTCCCACGGCCATGGAGGTGTGTTGGAATCATTTATCAGCACTTGTCAATTCCCGTAGCCACGTAAAATCAGAAGCTGGTGGTTACTTCTCAGATGGAGTGCCGTTCGACTAGACGAGGCGAGGAAATTTGATGGGAGCACGCGGAAACTGTTGTATTCTAGCACCCCAGAGCTGGGGTGGGGTGAACAGTGAAAGATCCCAAATTAGAATACTGGTCCTCTCACAATTTTGGAACAAGTATTGTTGGCGCGCACAAGCAATAAGAAGAACCGCTCGGTCGGGAACTTGCCGAACGGTTCGTCACAACACGTCACATCATATCCTACTTTTGCTTGACGAACCCGGTGTCAAAAGAGGAGTCTTCGTGGCAGTTTGCGCCCGGTCACCCCCAAATCCTGACATTCAGGCAGTGTTATTTTGCCCCCAAAACCTACCCTACGGAAATGGCAGTGGGCAGATGAGCGAGGGGCGGCAAAATTTAGGCTTTGGTTCACGAGGAAAAAATTGAGTTTTTGCCGCGAAAATAGCCCATTTTGGGACATTCCAGGATTACCTTTTAGTAATGCTTAAATATGACTACTTATACTTGATAGTTCTCCAATACCCTCTAGTAAATCCTAGTAATGCACTATTAATGCCTGATAATGAACCAGTAATGCCTGAACATACCCTCTCTACACTCTGCTGAACAATACAGAAGCCTGAGGACCATCTCCGGGTATGTGTACAGCATTATTAGATATTTTTCGCTATTACTAGCCATTACTAGAGGGTGTTGAGATCATGAGATCATAGTTTGTGGGCGTTCAGCTGTTGTCCCATGTTAGATCCAATTGCTCGTGGACCTCATAAGTTTTCCGGTTGCATGTGTCTTAACAAAGCAGGACTTACAGTCTAATCAAGTGTCAATGAGGTGTGTGTAAGTTCTTTGAGCGTTGTTCATAGTGACCAAGTCCAGCAAACAAGTGTGTAAATGTTTAGAAAGAGGAAGTAGTTTGACTACTGAAGACTCTCAGTAACTTACTTACTTCTCAGGAATATCATAGTTTGGCCACTTTTTCATCTTATTATCAACAATCTTATCTTATCCTGGCATGGGTTATCTTATCACGGATCACTGCATCACACGGTCCGGACTAGGGGCCCAGGGGGATATCTCTATCAATTCAAGGCTGCACGACACATGCTCCAGAAGGTTCCACTACAATCCATGACTAGTGCTCCATGTAGTACATAGTCTTATAACTCATTATGACTCAGACCAGATTTGGGTATAAATACCGTAGCTACTTGGTTGTATTCTCCAGTTTTCAAATTCACTCCTCTTTTTGAGTTTATTTTTGGGTTGATTGTCACAATAGTACTAGGCTTTGTATACCAGTCTGGAGCAGATATCATGATGTCATAGTGGAGTAGTGATATCATAGATGAGTACTGGATGAAACAATAATGAGGTCAGGTATGAGGTCATTGTGGAGCAAGCCAAAGCAATCTAAGAATACTGCATATGATGTCATGTCTACATACTGTGATAGTCGCTAATACAAACAAGCTTCAACACTATATATGGTTGATACTCCTCCACCAAATCAATGTTGATGGCTCTATCATTGGGTACAGTGTCTTCCGCTGCATCAGCAAGCTGTTCCATAGGTTGCTCCTCTTCCTCCATCACACACTTTGAACGTTTTTGGAGGCGTGGTTTAGTAGCCTCACCAGACAATGTCTTAAGAGTCATTGGTTTCCAGGCAGGAAGGTGGCAGGCCATGGAAGGCAAACAAGCCCTCTCCTCCTTGTCCCCATCACCCTCACCTTCTGACTCTCCATTGGCTGCCTGCACATCACTGAACCACTTAGCCATCTCTGCTTGCCAGTTGGATCCATTCACAAGCTGCTCTGTTGCCAAGAACTTGGATTGAGGTCCTGATTGTCCTCAAGCAAGGCACTATACCAAGGGACTTGAAGGAGCGTCTCTGTGACAATCAACAAGAAATAATGTCAAAAAGAGAAGTGAATTCAAAGACCAGAGAATACAACCAAAGCCCTTGGTCATGTTCTTTGGCCTCACAAATTCCCTGGCAACCTTCCAGAACATGATGAACAACAAACTGCAGGAACTGATCAATGAGGGACATGTGGTAGTCTATATGGATGATATACTGATCTTCACAGAAGACCTGGAGGAACACCAACTGATCACAAACCAAGTACTTGAACTGCTCCACAAGCACAAGTTGTACTGTATGACATCACCATGCAAGCCAAATCAGGATGTGGGCCATTTGCCTCCTCCACACTAACAGTACCATATTTCTGTAAGGGCAACTCCTGCCAGAATTTCGAGTTTTTCATATCTGTGCAAGAGACTACTACCCTCAGGGTGTCTGAATACTAATTTTGAGGGTGACTGATCCATTGACTCATTCAGGATCGCAGTCTGAATCTGTGTTCCCACCAATGACATATGAATTCTTGTGTTCTGAGGCCTCTGCCAACTTGTTTTGTTTCTTGATTCCATCCGCTGCTCCACTCCCTTCCATTGGTGATATCTGTGATTTGCGTAGAACGGTGATATTTTGGTAGACGTGTTCATTTTGTTGTTATATGCAAACTCCGCCATTCCCAGCCATTCTGACTAGTCTGTTTGATGGTATTTGATGTAAATGTGGAGACAGTGCTCGATCTCCTGATTCATGCACTCCATTTGCCCATCCATGATTGGGTGATATGCGGTCCCCAAATTCATTTCCACGCCCAACATCCGATTTGTCTCCTTCATGAAACCCTTGATGTAACGTGAATCCCTGTCAGTGATGATCTTGCAAGGGATCCCGTGGTAGCAGAAGACTCGGTCCTTGGTCAATTGTGCGACTCCTTTACTGCTGTCATGGATCTAAGACATTTACAATTTATATTTGTAAATGTTGACTGATTGATTTAATGCTTCTTCGTGATCAATGGATCAAAAACCCTTAGTTACAGTATATGATTTACATAGCCTTTCTCTGCCTTGCTGCGTACATAGCATTTCTGACATTTACTGCGGAGCGCAGCTATAAGCTATGAACACAGCCTTTTCGTGTAAATTATATAAAAGATTGACCCTCTCAGTGGAGGGGCATCTTACCTTTGAATTCACATCTGTTATCCACACTCTGATCTATCCTTGGAGCCTACAAGCTTCACAATACTTATCAATTACATCTACTGTGTTGCTAAACCAGTAGTTTATTGATATATTATTCTACGTTCGCATTTTGCTAAATCTGTGAACTCTAGAGTACTCTAATTGTTGATATATTCAACAATTCCCGACTACCGGATATTGGACCCATTATATAAGAGTCCCAATAAACCTCGCTTTGAGTCCATAGAATTTAATAGTCACAACTGCGTGATTATACAAATAAAACCTATTGATTTGTTAACAACTGCTGATGTCAGTACTCATTGGTTCGACATGGATCATTTTGGTGAAAGTGTCACACTACACATGAATTGTGTCATACCCATTACTGACCAGCAAGGGTACAATTTGATCCATGGTGATGATTTCCCACGCCGCATTTGGAACTGCATGTGGGTGCAGAGTTCCTGTCCTTGCTCTCCTGGTCTTGGTCCGTTGGCATGCTTCACACGTCTGGATGTATTTTCGAATTTGGTTTCCCATCCTTGGCCACCAGTAATTCCTTTCCACCATTTCCTGCATTTGGTTGATCCCTGCGTGTCCAACTAGGGGCGTGTTGTGGTGTAGCCCAATGATCTTGTCCTGCAGCTCCTCGTCCCTTGGCACGTAGAGCTTCCCATGATACGTGATGAGCCCATCTTCCTTTTTCCATCCAATGAGTGACTTCTCTCAGGCCGCCTTGACGCTTCCATTAACTGATTGAATGGCCTTGATCTCGTCGATCAGCTGCTGGTCTTGCCCTTCAAATGTGACTTCTTGTGATCAGAAGAATTCGGGCTTCAGCAAAGTGACATCTTTGTTGTCATTCTTGCCCTCATTGTGATCCGCTTGTCGAGATAGAAGATCCGCCTTGTGGTTGAGTGGGCCAGGCCGGTGTCGCAAGGTGAAATCAAACTCTGCCAACTCTGTGATCCATTGTGCTTGCCCTCAGTTGAGCTTCTGCGGCTTCCGGAAGTACTCAAGATTTTGATGATTGGTGAAGATCTCAAATGTTTTGGTGGCTCCCAGGAGTAACTGCCTCCATTCATCCAATGATAGCATGATTGCAAGCATTTCCTTGTCGTAGATCTTGTAATTTTGCTCAGTTTCGGTCAATGCGTGTGAAATAAATGCAATTGGGCGCCAAATGCTGTCTTGGTTTTGGCTCAAAACAGATCCTGTTGCCCCTTCTGAAGCATCGGCTTCCAGACAATATTGGCCGCTGTCATTTGGCAGTGCTAGGACCGCATCCTCCGCGATTCTCTTCTTCAATCCATCAAATGCTGCATGCTCATCTGTACCCCATGACCATCCTGCCTTCCCTGCCAGCCGTGTCAATGGCTTGGCGACTTCCGCATATCCCCAGACAAAGTGTCAATAGAAGTTTGTGAACCCCAGGAAGGCTTGCACTTGTTTGACGCTCTTTGGTTCTGGCCATTCCATCATGCCCTTGATCTTGACTGGGTCTATCCGCATCAAGTTGTGCCCAATAATTACACCCAGATATTCGATTTCTGTGCATTCGAACTCGCACTTTTCGGGTTTCAGGTACAACTTGTGCTTTTGCAGCACTTTGAGTATGCATTTTGTGATCTGCCAATGTTCATCCAAGTTCTCTGTGAAGATCAATATTTCATCAAGATAAACTACCATGTGACCCTCATTGATCAGTTCTCGGAGCATGTTGTTCATCATGTTTTGGAAGGTCGCCGGGGAGTTTGTGAGGCCAAAGAACATAACTAAGGGCTTGTACAGTCTGTGATTTGTGCGGAACACAGCCTTCCACTCATCGCCCTCCTTGATCCGTACATTGTTGTATCCCCATCGGATGTCTAGCTTCGTGAAGAACTTGGCACCGCAAAAGTTATGGACTAGTTCGGAAATCAGCGGCAGTGGGTATTGATTTCGGATTGTCATCTCATTCAGCTTCCGATAATCTTGGATGGGACATAGTGAACCATCCTTCTTCTTGAGAAAGAAGAACACTGATGCCATGGGTGATTTTGATGGCCTGATCTGTCCGCTGGCCAGGTTCTCTTGTAAGAACTCATCGAGTTTGACCAGTTTGTTTCGTTATAATGGGTACACCTTGCAGTCCACTGCTTTGGAACCAGGTTTGAGCTCAATCACATGATCCCATGCCCGTCGGTCCGGTAGCGAGTCAAACGATTCCTTGGCGAATACCTTGACAAATTTCCGATATTGATCTGGAATTTTTCCTTCAGTCATCCTCTCCTTCTCCTTTTCTGCTTCTTCTGCGAATTTCTGTGCCGGCGTTTCCTTCAGCCGCAGATCCACCTCCTTTCCAAAGTCAATCAACAGGATCGATTCACCCTCTTCCAGATCTGGTGCGCCCGTGTCCAGGTCAATTGCATCCATGTCAATCATTGCTTGGTGCTCCTTGTGACCCCTCATGTGACACTGCTCTGGGCATCGGCTGAATCTCATTGTCTACTCTTGCCAATCCACCTCCGGGTTGTGTTCCATCAGCCAATCAAGACCAATGAAGATCCGGGCCTTCCCTAGACACATTAGAAGGAACGTGCGTGTCTCCACATGAGGACCGATTCTCATCTTTAGGTCGACGTAATGCGTGATCCAACCGCTGATGTTCTCAGTGTTGTTGGCGTTACGAGCCACAATGGGTTGTGGAAGCTCTTGGATATCCAGCTTCTCTGCCCGTGCATAGTCGGTATCAATGCAGCAGGTACTGCAGCCGCTATCGAGCAGCACCTTGACTCAGCGCATTTTCCCCGAGTCCAGACCCATGATCTGGACATATACGTCCATCGAATGCCTCTTTCTTTTGGCCTGGTAACTGCGCAATTCCTGTGTCAATCTGTTGGGCTGGGGTCCCTCTGTTTCTCGGCTGCCAATTACCTCTGGATGGCATCTGGCACCCTGGTGCGTGTGGGTGCTTGTGGAACCTTGATTTCAGCAGATTCCTTGCCGGAGCAATGCTCCCCTTTTTGGTCTTTGTTGACGTGGTTTCTTCTCCACGAGCCATAAATATGTAGGAGTCCAAAAATAATTTATCTGCAGCCGCTGCCTTCTGATCCTTTTTATCTTGTAAATATTTTCTATTTAGAGCTATCTTTTCTTTGCGTTCTTTTCCCATCTTGGCAACAAGAAAATTGTGAATATTAGTACATAGTGAGTTGGGGAGCATGTATGTATGGTGAGGAATATTGTTCATATCTTTAATTGAAACAAGTACAGAAAAACATCCATAGTCCGGATGCTCCACCTCCTTGGCTTGAGGAGTGGAGCGCTTCAAAAACCCTTCTTGCTCAGCTTCTCGCAGATCTCCTTGAGGAACTTGTTGTCCTTGTCCCCGTTCTCGATCTCTTCAAGCATTGTGGCCCGGTTGAAGAATGTGCGCTTCTTCCTCGGTTCCGGACAGTTCTGCGCAATGTGCCCGGGCTGCTGACAGTTATAGCAGATGATATTGCGACCACGGGTCGATTTCCATCAGAACCGGTTTGTTGGCAGCTGGTCGGGCCAGAGCAGGTGCAGGCGTTGTTGGAGCAGCCTGAGGGCGGAATTGGGGAGGTGGTCGTTGCATGGGGTGCCCGTGCAATGCTTTGCGCAGCTGGTCACAAAGAGTGTTTGCCTTGATGTTGACACACCAGTCCTTGAAGGCGCCATACGCCTTTGGCAGAGGGACACCTGTGTTGTACAGGCAACTGGTGATCTCACTACTGAGTCCACGCTCGAGGAACTTGATGAGGATGTTGTCTTGGTCCCCCTTCTTGTACTTGCCCTTGTCATCGGTGGTGGTGACCACATTGTAAAGTATCCTGCGTCTGCAGCCAGCATCTCGAAGTCGGAGATGTAATCTGCAAAGGATTGTTTGTTCTGGTGTAAGGCCATGAGTCGAGCAGCGGCAACTTGTTCCGCGTTGGTGTCCCTGAACACCCTCTGAAGCTCCTCCAAGAAGGTTGCCGAGGTGACCCCAGCCTTTATTCCATTAAGGCTTTCCGTGACAGAAGCAATAATACTCGAGTTCCAGCACAAGAGCAATCAGCGCGCTAACTGGAATAGCACTAGATTGACTAAAGAAAAACTCACTATCTACTTCTACCTACTTATATACTGTTGATTGATATGACTAAGATTGATTGATGGCCAGGTTCGGACAATTATCTAAGCTGAATGACACATGTAATTGAACTCTGTTACACCCGCCCTCCAGCTTGTCGCTTCAGCAAGCTACCCTTGCTCCTCAGCCATCTCAGCATCAGCAACATCAGCTGGAACACTGGCTGTGACGGCCCGCTATGCCCGGGCGTCCTCAATGCGTTTGTGACGCTTAACAATGGCTACGGCGGAGTTGAGGTACCCCATCGAGTCAGCAGAGTCCCGGCTGGCCTGCTGTTTAGCCATACGACACTCCCGGGCCTTGCATTGGGCTTGGTCACGCCCGATGATGGCCTCGCGGCCGTCTTCATACTTGGCACGGCTGATGGTTACAATGTCGGGATCCCGAGTGGGTTTGAGACGTGCATCCGTGACCAGCGCTTCACAGAGACTGGGGATGTGTCCCGCTCCGTGAACCAGGTCGCCGTTGCTGGCCCAGGTGGCGGAGGCCCACCCTTGGGGGTCTCTACCATTAGCGGCCAAGGCCACCTCATGGGTCCGCACCGGCTTGAAGCCGTGGGTGAGTGGGTCGACATCGGGATCATGAACTGCCTGGTGAGTCATTAGCAAATTACTACACCCTGAACTGACGTCTGCCCACTGTACCTGGTTCCACAGGATGATGTGTTGCAGCTGATGGGCGTCCAGGACGCACTCGAGGACGTTGTCAGCGGCCATGGTCACCAAAACCACAATTGTCCGGGGGTCGGTGAACCGAAATGTGCCTTTGTGCTCCTGGTTGAACCGTTGATGCTCTGCCGACAGGATGCCTGTTTCGACATCGTCGGGATGCACCTCTCCGAGGAAGGTGCGGGGGGTGAAGTGGACCATAGTTGGGGACTTGTGGTCTGCAGAGAGGTGTGTGAGGAAGTCTGGTTTCCTCCCTCCTTGCGGCTTTTGACTCTCAGCGGCGGAAACCGGCTCCCACGACACACAGGAGACTTGCAATTCGGAGAATTCGGGCTCAGAACGCAGCCCTCGGGTCAGACCGCCGATGTCCTCGACCCCTTTTGACTCGAAATAGTCTTGGAGAACGTTGAGGCGACTCAACGGCTCGTAGGGCATCCAGGTAACGTCTCCCGACTTCCACTCCACTTCGAACAGTGCTTTCCAGCAACTGCCTACGTGACTCAGAACCCGCTCTACTGCCCATTCAGGTTCCGAATTGGCATCAGCCACATTCAGCTGATTTTCGAGACGTCCAGGGAACCTCCAATCGTCGTTCAGGACGTGTATCCGAAGAAGGGATGCGTGAAACACTGGGTGAAGGCCCCTTTGCTTCAGATTAGGGGGCAAGTCTATCTCAAAGGACAAATTACCAAAATCTCTTGTGATCAGGTACGGGCCCACGAACTTCGGTATCAATTTACGCGCTAATCTTTTCTCAAATCGCATGTTCTTGCTATTGATGTAGACAAGATCTCCCTGCTTGAAGGGAGCGGGGATCCTCTTGCGGTTTGCTGCTTGCGTCTGTTTGACTTGGGCTGCTAGAATGGCGTTGTGGGCTGCCATCACCACCATCCGTCTCTGGTTCATGAACGTGGCAATGCCGGGGAACTCGCGGTTTGCGTTCGAGTTCCACAGAAGGGATTGCGGCATCATCCCCATGTTCAGGAAGAACGGTGAATGGCCCATTGTCTCCGATCGTGCCATGTTCATGGCAAACTCCACTGCTGGTAAGCGCAACACCCAGTCTTTTTGCTTCTCACTGATGCACTGCCTCAGCATTTGGGTCACCGTCTGGTTGGCACATTCTGTTGCACCATCCGTCTCTGGGTGATACACGCTGGACATTTTCATCTGAGTCCCAATGAGCTTGTTCAGTCTTTTCCAGAATGTACTTGTGAACAATACATCCCTGTCACTTACTATTGAGTGAGGCAACCCATGTAATTTATACACCTGCTCGAACATGAGCTCGGCCACTTGTTGGGCAGTATAATTTATTCTGCTGGGCACCAGGTGCACCATTCCAGTGAGGAGACAGATAATCACGATGATAGACTTAAATACTCCATCCCGGTTGCGTGATTCCGGCAGTGGCCCTACAAAGTCTATCCCAATGGATTCCCATGGCCGACTTGGTGGAGATAGCGGGTTTAGAAGCCCATATAACTTATGGTTGTTAGGCTTGCTACGCTGACACATCATGCAAGTTTCACAGTCAGCCTGTACGTCCTCGACCATATCTTTCCACCAGACATACTCTTTCAAGTAGTCCAGGGTTTTCCGCGGTCCCAGGTGGGCTAGGATTGAGTGCGCCTCAGATATCACTATTTCCCTCAGTGACCTTCCTTGGAACTCCATTTGTGGAACACACAAGACGGTGTGGTCCTTGCTACGGAGGTACAGAACTCCGGTGTCCTCATGAAAGTCCTTGAACTCGCTGGGCTTTCCCAGGATGTTCCTGAAGAGCTTGTTGTTTGCGTATTGCCCTTTCACTGCGCCTAGCAGATCAAGTCCGTTTACGCCTTGCTCTACCTCGGATATCAGTGATTGTGTCAGGTCCGCTTCTGGTTCTCCTCTGGGTTCTGGTTGCCTGGGCGCCGTGCTTAAGCTTTCCGAGCTCCGCATCTGCGGCGCTTCTCTTCTCTGTTCTGGTTGCCTGGTTTCGCTGTCTTTGGGCCGGTCCACGCTTACATTGCGTATCCTTTTGTTCTTCTTTTCCCTTGGGGACCCGCCCTCCTTGCCACTTCCACTGGGGGGCAACCCCTTTGCTAGCAGGCCAGCGCCTCTTGTCGCCAATCTCAATACTCTGTCTGAAGGTGCTGGCGTTTGTTTCGGTCACCTGACTCGTCTCTCATCCTCTCCTGCTGCTCTCATGACATGGTCGGTCAACAGCGCGGATGCCTCTGCACCTGCAAAGACCGGCATAGACACCGCATGCGCTCCCAGTGGGTCGTTGTCCACAACGTCATGATATGTGTACTCACTCCTAGCCCGGACTGTTCCTGGCGTCTCGTTAGAGTAAATGCGCGACAACGCATCTGCAAGCACGTTTTCCGTTCCTGGCACATACACCACCTCGAAATCAAAAGAGGATATCTTTTCTATCCAGCGCACTTGCCTCCCCAATAAGTCCCTCTGGTTCACAAGGTGAGTCAACCCCTTGTGATCTGTTATCCACTGGAACTTACATCCCTGAAGGATGTCTCGGTGGCGCAGCACTGCCTCGACACCCGCCAACATCTCGATCTCGTGGACCTGGTAGTTTTGCTGCGCTGCATTCAACTTGGCTGAGAAGAACGCGGCCACTCTCCCCGTTTTCCAATCCTTGCCCTGGCATACCACGCCTGCGACTCCTGAAGAGCAGCCATCCGTTACAAGAAAAACTGGGTCAGCCCCTTGGCTGTAATCAAGTGGCGCTTGGTGGTGGTTGCGCAAACTGGTAACCGTCCATTTGATGTCCTCAAATGCCCGCTGATGAGTATAACCCCATTGGAACAGGACAGTGTCGCCCGTGAGCCTGTGTAGCACCCCCATGGGGACACACACGCGGTCCAGATTGTCCGCCAGGTATCCCACCGAGCCTAGAAACCCACGCAGTAGATCCCTGTTAGTGGGCGTCTTCCAATTCAATACCGAGTCAACCTTGTTGGGATCCATTCTAATCCCCTCGTTGTTCACAACCCGCCCCAGGACCTGAAGCTCGGGCTTCAGAAACTGGAGTTTTTTCTTGCCTAGGTAAAGCTTTTCACGCCTCAGCACATCTATTATCAATTTCACATGAAAGCAGTGAAAGCAAGGGTAACAGGTAGAAATGAAAGTCACTCTTGGAATGCAGATATCCTTGCTTCAGTCACCCTAAGCAATATGCTACTCCATTACAGTAAGCTATTTGGGAATTTTAGAGACCTCATTGCTCTAAAAATCCTGCTCTATCTATTTTATTCAGGTGCAACTGATTTTACAATAGCAATGTAAGAGGAACTGTGTAAGTGAGTTCCAACCTCTTCTCAATGTTGAAATGGACTTCTATGGGGTTTCATGCTCAGAATATGAATTCCAAGGCAAGGGAAGACAAAGAACCTCCATGATTTTTGAGTGGTATGGCTTAACAAGCTGGAGATGTACTACTAATTCAGGTTCAAATAATTGAAGGTTCTTTGTCTTCCCTTGCCTTGGAATTCATATTCTGAGCATGAAACCCCATAGAAGTCCATTTCAACATTGAGAAGAGGTTGGAACTCACTTACACAGTTCCTCTTACATTGCTATTGTAAAATCAGTTGCACCTGAATAAAATAGATAGAGCAGGATTTTTAGAGCAATGAGGTCTCTAAAATTCCCAAATAGCTTACTGTAATGGAGTAGCATATTGTGTAGGGTGACTGAAGCAAGGATATCTGCATTCCAAGAGTGACTTTCATTTCTACCTGTTACCCTTGCTTTCACTGCTTTTTCTGTTCCTTTAATGGCTGGCTCTAATATGTGATATAAGACAACAGCACATTGCTAGAGAAGTATACAGTGTTGGAAAGGAAGAGGGATATGCCTAGAGAAACATGTGCTGTCATTGAAAGCTATGTAGGATATCAATAAATGAATTAGAGTATGGAGGCATTGTACAACAGTGCAGTGGCTTGGAAGAGCACAAATGTAAGTGATTGCATGGAAGAATATCCCCTGAACGGCTAAGAGAGAACCAACAACATGAGCAGATGATGTCAATCAGGGTCTGACAGTTAAGATGAGATTAGGATTTACTGTAACTTTATAATCAGTTTGCCACCCCCTGTGACAAGTGACATCTAGCACCAATTTGTCAATCTGTCAGCTAGGTCTGTGATCTGTGACAAAAAAGAATTGTCAGGTGGTAAAATCCTGCCCCAAAAATCTGGAAACACCCAATATTAATGACCAGACGTGATGAAGACCCAATCTGAGGAAAAATGAAATTGCCACCTTAGCTTGTGACCTGTGACCAATCATTGTATTTCTTCCTCGTCAGGGCTCTTGTGACATGTGACTGGTGAACTAATTATAAACTCATATTACATCATTAACATCATCAAAAATTGATGTGCAATCAAAAGCTGTGCTATTCCACATGACAGTGAAGTACATGACTGATGCTGGTATAGAAAGTGATGGGAAATCAACATTCTTTTTCTGGACAATACCCTATGCTGATTTTCAATTCTGGCCAAGTGCCCCAGAATGTGCCAAAAATAGACAATTCTGAGTGTACTTCTGTACAAGGTCAAACCATACAAGCAGCCTACAAAGTAATTGGAGCATTCACATTTTTTTTCTTTCCCGGCCTACAGCCGGCTGTGGGTTCAAATACAGCATCTGTCTATGGGGATACGCTGAATGCACCCTCAATGTTCTTGTATACAAGCTGAAACATCCATACAGGCAGCCTGCAAGGGTAAACGGAGCATTCACAAATGCATGAGGACAGGATGGTTCTGACCACATCCAGCCCCTGTGGTGGTTGCAACCACCCACTCGAGCCAGCAAAGGGTGATTTTCTTTTCCAGCCTATGGCTGGCTGTGGGGCCAGATACAGCATCCTCCACTCGGTATGTACTTGTCTACAAGCTGAACAGCCTATACAAGCAGCCCACAAGGCTGATTGGAGCATTTGAGAAAAAAAAATTCCCCGACCTACGGCCGGCCCTGGGGCTGGATACAGCATCCCCCTCTTGGGATGGGCTGGGTGCACCCCATCGTACTCATCTACAAGCTGAACAGCCCATACAAGCAGCCCACAAGGCTAATTGGAGCAATCACAAATGCATGATCACAGGGTGGTTGCAACCATATGCAGTGAGGACCATCAATTGACCTGAGGTGGCTGCAACCAAAGGCCAACAAATGGTCAAGACCACCCTTTTCAACACTCAAAATAGGGTGTGCTACTGATTTGGGATGGGTGGTTGTGCCCAAAGAGGTGGATGGTCTGAGACCACTGAGTGGTCTTGGACCCTCTTAAGGCTAAAAAATGACCACTTTTGGTACCCTATTAGGGTCCCAGACCATACTGACTGGACTGAGCCTGGTGCAAAAATCTATATTTGCTGTTTACACAGTTGCTGACCAAGAAGGACGGTCCCATGCCCATGCCCCTGCCTTCTTCCTGCTCCATCTCCTCCAGCTTAATCAGCGTCATGGCAAGCGGCGCGTCCCTGAGCTCCACTGCAAAGGGCTCCTGCCTCAGCAGATCCTTGTCTGTCTGACCTAGCTCTGCAAGGCACTTTTGCGCCCAGTAAGCCCCGATTTGGAACTTAGGATCCAGCAAGCACTCCCTTCGCACAGTGCATTGTTTTATGTCGTCGAAGGCCAGCGGAGTTTTGGTGTCCGCGATGTGGTGCCTGCCGTCCCCAATGTCGTACAGCCAGAACCTACCTCGTGAAGGAGGTTGGTCGTTGCTGGGGAAGGGCTGACAGTTCTCCAGTGCCAAGGCGGCAAACTGCGCAGCCAGGTTGCCCACCGGGCAGGGCTCCAAGGACAGCTGGGACATTAGCAAACTCAGGCCCCCAAGTTCATCCTGCCCGGGCAGGTTCTCGAGAACCTCGCTGTCGCCAACTTCCTCCAGCCCGGCGGGACTCACGCTAAACGACTCCAGTACCTCGGTGGTATCCTGCAGGGAAGACGATCCCAGGCCTACTGCGTGGGACTTGAGCCCAGGTGGTTTACCTTTGCTGTCGGACCTCATCGAGGTAAGTCTTGGGCAGTTCCTGGCTATATGCCCTGATTCCTCGCACTGCAGGCACAGCCCTTTCGCAAGCAGCTCGCTTTTCTTTTGAGGCAATAGCTTCCTCTCCCAGGGTCTCTCTGGTGGCCAAGCTATGTGGGATACAGGTGTTGTGTTCCGAGGATCCCCCTTCGACTTCGGATTGCTCAACCCAACCGCCGCTGTTCTCATCTGCACACGGTACCTCCGGGGAGGGAATCTTGTCCTTGGCGTTGCTCCAGCGCCTCTATCTGCTGTCACCGTCTTGGGCGGCTGGGTCTGGCCGCTGCTCTTTCGACTGGCTTCAAGGTTCAGGAAGCGCTCAACGCGCTCAGCGGTGCGTACCACTCTTTTCCACTTGCTTTTTTCGGGGTCAAGTTCAAGCCGGTACAGCTCTCTCTGAATCTTGTTGTTGAAGCTCTGCCATAGCAGCGCGACTCGTTCCTGGTCTTTTGGCAGCCCAATCAAAAGCAAGATGCTTTCGAACTCCAGCACATGCTTGTTCACAGACCGCCCATTCTGGAAGCACCGGCTCAGCCTCTTGCGTTGTCGAAGATGGAAGTCAGGTGAGAAGCAGTACTTTAGCAACGACACCAGAAGCTTTTTGAGCATTATCCGGGTCGTTGGCCTTCGCTGGCTCCTTGCTCATCCCTCTCAGAACAGTCGAGAATAGGCTCTCGCTGCGTGCTTTACGGTTTCTGGACTTTCCAGCTGGGGCCCGTTGGCCCTCCTGGATCTCCAGCTTGGCGAGTCTGTTCCTCAACTCCTCTATTGCGCCTTCGAGCTGGGGAGCAGAGGATTCCTTACTTCTTGTTGAATCCTGGCTAACTCGGTTTCTTTGGTCCCCCGCGCTGGCAGACACTGTGCCTGGAAGGTTGGGGGAGTTGTCCTGTTTCAGGTCTGGCATGGCAGAGATCACTTTGCTGCGGCGCCCCTGGGCTTTTCGTGCCTCACAGAAGATCTCCAGGGCCTCCTTCTGGCGGCGCCATTCCTGCTCTCCTAGCTTGTCATTGGAGAACTCAATTGCACCCCAGTTTCATGGGTCTACCCCCTTTCCCTTGTCTCGGGAAGATCCTGCCGCCCGGCTATTGAATTCAGCCTCTGACTCGGAGTCTCTGGTCTCCTCATATCAGCCAATAAACTCAGGGGTCTGACTCCTGTCACGGCTCACTGTGAACACCTCCCCCTGGCGGTCTGGGCGATTCTCCGCCAACTCAGCCAGCTGGGCATATCTTCTCGAGATCACCCTCAGTTGTCTCGGGGACAGACTGGTTGCAGCAAGGTTGACCGGCGACGTAAACTCGCTGTCTCTGGATACGACTGCCTGGTTAGTATGAGCGTCTCGTACATCTTGTACGTATGTAGTACAGATATCACCGGTGCTCGCCGGTCTTCTCAGTATGCCTCCTTGAGGAGGGGGGACTCTGTGAGTCCAAGCAGTCTTGGCTGTCACTCGTGTCCACTCCTGGGCAGCTTCTGGGTCTTCCGGCGAGAATTCTGCTGCTGACAGAAGAGGGAGTATCTCTGTTGGGGAATGGGCTTTCACCTCTGGGTCCACCACTCGGCTGTACAGCAAGTCGGGGGAGACTGGCCAAGACGCCCGAGGGGAGGGGGGTTGTTGGGTCCCTGCGGACAGGGCCACAACCGCGCCTTGGGCGTTACGAGGGCGGAGGGTAGGACCCGTCGGGGGGTTGTTTTCGTGGTTTCGATGATACATTGTTGTTGTTGGTCTGCACAAAGTCGGAAGTAGTGGTTGATCGGACCATGATGAACCAGAGCAGAGCAAAGACCGAGTGCTTGAAGAGTTAAAAAGATGTGACGGAAGCGATAATACTCAAGTTCCGGCACAAGAGCAATCTGCGCACTAACTGGAATAGCACTAGATTGACTAAAGAAAAACTAACTATCTACTTCTACCTACTTATATACTGTTGATTGATATGACTAAGATTGATTGATGGCCGGGTTCGAACAATTATCTAAGCTGAATGACACATGTAATTGAACTCCGTTACACTTTCAAAGTTGCACTGTTTCCAGTTCATCGCCCATCTTGAGGCGGCGCAGCTTATGCCAGCCTTGTTGCAGAGGTAGGAGAGAATGAAGAAGATTTTTGTCTCATCCTGCGAGAATTCCAACCGATATGCACGAATGTAGGTGGTGCACGAGTCCACAAAGCCCATGTACTTGGTCTTGTCCCCATCAAAATTGGGAGGGTTGGCGGCGAGGGTGATGCGGTGATGACCTGACATGGTAGGAGCAGGTGCGGTAGGTGGGGGCAAAGGCGGTTGCTTGGAGGGTAATTTGTCAAGGTCGGGAATCTCGTCTTCAGGCGGCGGGAGGGCAAGGTATGGATCAGAGGGCCCGGGTTGGTTTTGATGTGCCAGATTGGGCGACGATGGTAAGATGGGGGGAGGAGATGGACTCCCAGACGACAATGGGGATCAGTACAAAATGGTGAATTTGTGTGCCGTACAAGCACTCAAGGAAAGGTTCTTTTGCTAGCAAAAAGATCCCGGGCCTAGCTCTTCATGTGCCCAATGATCCCGAGGTGCGTTTTCCCAAAGGTCTCCGCAGCACTCCTTGTAGCCACCGTAAGGCTTGGGTCGGGCTCAACATTACCCGTGGCCTGGTGCTGTTTGCTCGAGATGAACCCTTCACCACTGTGTCCGCAGAGAACAACTAGATGATTCGGTAAAAAGGTGAGTGGGATTGATAAGGTTTGTAACAGAAGCGACGAATCGAGTTCTGCTGCACGTAGAGCGAAGGCTGACTGTTCAATGTAGTAGTATTCACTGAAGAATTATCTACCATGTGACTACCGTTGACGGACTGGCCTATCTATCCGACAAGTCCTGACGTGTGGCAGTGCATGTCAATCAGCAATCACCCTGGCTATTCACTGGTTCGTCCAGCCCTGCATATATTTTTGATATTCACATCCCTGGACTGCTGTCTGCACATTTATCTCTACACCCCTGCCTTTCTTACTTCACCATCCACTTGTACCTGTTTTTCCCCTCTCACTTCCCTGGTTCCTCTGTTCACCGTCCCTTGCTCCATCCTGTCGATATTTCACCCACTCTGATGATTATTTCATTGTCTCACATACAAAAGCTTGTAGTTGGACAAAAGAAAAACAGATTTATTCTCCTCATCGTCTTGAGTTCAGTTCTCGTCTTCAGCTCGTTTCTACTTGGGTATTTCGACCCTCTGCTTCGTCTCATCCGTCCTACGCCGCCCTCGACTTCGCCCTACGTCCCCAATCGTCATTTCTTACTGCCAGCCACGGCACTGAATCTTGTGGACCTCCTCGCACATCACACTTATTCCTGCACTGTTTTAGGTCGTAGCTGACCCCCATTTTGTGTTAGCTCGCGCCTATTCCGTCCGCAGGCACGTCATTTTGGAGCCCACCGCGAGGGGATTTCAACATAGATTCTGGTGCCTCTCGCAGTCTGCGACACAACAATCATTCTGAGCTACGTCGCACGCTCCGTGAAGAGCTAGCTGTTGCTCTCAACGACCCCACAACTCTCTCTTTCGACGACGAACACCTCTTTGACATTGTCCCCAGCGCCCTTGCACAACACAACAACCTCTCACCGCATTCCCTGAGCTCTCCAACGCTATCCTGGCTCTTTGATTCGCCTCCAACAACGCGTTCACCATCCCCCCTTCACAACACGAATATTCCTTCTCAAAATATGGCTACTCCCACTCCCATGCCAGCCAGAGGCGATCGAAACGCCCCAGTCTTTGATTCGTCCAAGCCCCACGAGTTGCGCCGTTATTTCCTCGATCTGGAGTTCCTTCTAGCTCGATCTGCCGTCACTGATGCTGCCCAAATGAAGGGGCATGCGGTCAGATTCCTTTCCGTCGAAGATCAGGAGATTTGGGAAGGTCTACCGTCATTCTCAGACGCCAACAAATCGTACCACGACTTCAAATTGGACGCCCTCAGCCTCTACGCAGGGAACGACACAGATCGTCGTTTCAGCCTCGACGATTTGGACATGCTCGTTGGGCAGACATCTCGCATGGGAATCCACACAAAGGACGACCTCACACAATTTTATCGACGATTCCTACACATCACAACATTCCTGATTAGCAAACAACGACTCTCTGTGGCAGAACAGAGCCGATTTTTCCTTCGAGCTATGAATCCAGCCTCGTTGTCCGTCTCAGTTCGCCAGAGACTTCAGATCAAGAAGCCAGACGTTCACCCTGAGGATCCATATGATTTGTCAGATCTGTACGACGCTGCTAAATTCGTCCTTTCAGGATCATCGACCTTACTTCCTGGAATGCCCACGTCTCAGCCCGGAACCGAGCTCACAATCAAATCAGACCCTGGAATTACTGCACTAGTTTCATCCGTCTCAGATCTAGTTCGAATAATCGCTGCTCAACACGCCAATCCTGGTGCCCCAGCACAATCACAGTCCGCCAACGCCCTGCCCCGCCGTCGCCGTCCTGATGGCTGCAGTTATTGCAGTGATCTCGAGCATTTTATCAGCCAATGTCCCCACGTTTCGACGGATATTCGAGACGGAAAATGCCGCCGCAATGTGGATGGGAAAGTCGTCCTCCCCTCAGGCGCATATGTGCCAAATATTGTCCAAGGAAAGGATCTTCGAGAGCGCATTCAGAAGTGGCATGAAGCGAACCCAGGTCAGGCAGCAGCTCCGCAGATGATTTTGGAAGTTTCTCACCAGAATTTGCTGTCTTCTGCGGCGCCTGGGCTCGTTCAAACGTTCAAACTCACGGACAAAGAACGAATGGCAGTTCTGACGGCTGAAATTAATCAACTACGCACACGGGCCCAAGCTAAACGCGCTATGGAAGTTGCTAATCAACCAGAAGTCCCTGAACGCACTATTCCACCGGCGGTAGCGCGAAATCCAGTCGTTCCACCTGTTCCAATCGAAACCGTCCCTCCTGCGACCGCCCCTGCTGCTCCAGTTGCCCCGCCTCAACCCCCATTCCATCCGTACGCCGCAGCTCGTGATGGCGCTTACGCACCGCCCAAAGAACGAAATGTTGGGATTCCAGCGCAGAAATCACAACCCCCACGCTCTTCGGCTCCGATCTACAACCCCAAAGATGCTGCAGCTGTTTTCGACGCCATTTTGGACATCCCTGTCACCCAGACGCTTCGCCAGACCCTGTCGATTGCCCCAGAAGTCCGTGCTCAATTCCGCGAAGCCACTAGTTTCCGTCGTCCCCCTGCCAAGACTGGCGAGGCAGTGCCTCAATTCCTGCATCCTGTCACTGATAGCACGCCCTACGACCTTCCATATGCTCAGGACGACTCAGATTTGGTCGAAAAAGTGCTTCAGCAGCAACGAAACGAAGATGCACGCCTTGCTTTGGCTGCGGAGCATTTTCCAGTCGCCTACAGCCAGACGTTGCCCCCAGACGCTTGGGTGGTCCCAGATAAATTCGCCGTCTACTACGATCAGACTGGAAGGTTGCCAGACAATCTAGTTGTGGCTGCCGAGTCCCTGGCCATCCGCTCGATCCTCCCAGTGATTGACAACCAGCAACAAGTGGAATGCATCGTCGACAGTGGTTCTCAGATTATTTCGATGTCCCAGGCAACCTGTCACGAGTTGGGACTTGCGTATGACCCTCGAATCGTTCTACAAATGCAATCTGCCAATGGAACAATCACACCGTCGCTTGGACTAGCCCGAAACGTCCCGGTTCGCATTGGGGACATCACATTGTACCTACAGATGCACATTCTGCGTGACGCTGCCTACGACGTGCTCCTGGGACGACCATTTGACGTTCTGACGGAAAGCGTCATTCGAAACTTTTCCAACACGGATCAAACACTCACAATCACCGATCCCAACACTGGAAAGACGGCTACTGTGCCTACTGTGCCCCGCGGAT